AAGTTTGCAAAACGAATGTTTATCAATTATTCAACAATTATATAGGCGGGTTTGATCGAAGTAAGTATTAAAGTAGTGAGATCTACGAAGCTGTTTGTAAAATATATTTATCAACGTTTTATTATTATCAATTATTCAAATAATTATATAGACGGGTTTGATCGAAGTAAATGTTAGTCAAGATCTATGAAGTTTGCAAAACGAATGACCAATAAAAAGTTGTGGGACTAAGTGACTTGCACTATATAAGGTTATGTCGAGAGATATGGTCAAGAGAAGAGTTGGAAAGAGAATTGTTTTTCAACAAGTCGAAACCAACCCTTTAAATACATCCTCGAGTAGTGCAATTTAATTTATTAGACTATTTTAAAGGTTTGTCGCATGCTTTCTTCCAACTTCTTAACATTAATTTGAACCATTTGTCGAATATTTTTATTAACTCTCATATTAATATAAATAATAATAATTCATTTATTTTTACGTTATCAAATTCACGATTTTGATTGGTCAATCAATGATTAGATGGATGCTCTAAAATCTTTAATTAGTTTCGACTAAATAAAATAAATAAACATTTAAAACCAAAATTATCCACTAATTAAACTAATATGTTAGTAAACCTATTCCACATAAACATAATAAACAATTGTTATCATCAATTAATTCACGCTCTCCCAAACATAATTGGTAATACATGCAAATTAACATGAATTGTTGTAGAAATGAACTGTCGACGAAATGAACTGTCGACGAAATAATTTTCGACGAAACAAACTTTCGACGACAAAATGAACTTTCGACGAAATGATTGTCGACGAAATAATTGTCGATGAAGTGATTGTCGACGAAGTGATTGTCGACGAAATGAACTTTCGACGAAACAAACTTTCGACGAAATGGGTGTCGACGAAATGATTGTCGACGAAATGAATCAGACCCGTTAATTTGGAATTTATTTTGTGAATTATTATTATTACATTTACTTTATTTTAATAAAAATTCTATAAGCAGGATATTGCCTTTATTAAAAAAAAAACTATCCATAAATTGTATAATAATAAATAATGATGATGATGATGATGATAATGATAATAATGATGGAATTTTTTTATTTTATTTTTTTCTATCAATTTTTATATTATATATTTAAATATTTCTAAATCTTTTTCTTCTCTAAAAAAAAAAAAAAAATCTTATATATGTGTGCGTATGTATATTAATATGTATGTATATATAAATCAAAATTTTACAAAAAGAAGTAATCCTAAATATATTTACTGTAATATATATAAAAAATGAAAAATAATTACAATATTTACTGTATATAAAATAATTACAAACAAAACTTATATAATAAAAATATAAAAGTAAATCGTATAATCAACAGTATTTTTTTTGAGAATAATATCTACAAATGTCTATATAAACGTTATCAGAATCAAGAATTTCTTTGCAGGTATTATCAACCATATTATCATATTCTTGTTCCGTCAAATCCACGATAGACAATAATTTTGTTTTAACATTTGTACAAAACCATTTAAATAATTGTAATTGAGTTGCGCCTAATTTTCCGCCCCACAAACCATACGGAACAATTGCTTTATCCAAATAAATTGCGTTGTCCAACATTTGCTGCGAATTTTCTAAAAATTGTTGAATGTGATCCGTTATATATACATTGATTCCATGTGTTTTGAAATACGCGGCGTCACCTAAAGACAGACGAGAAAAAAAATTAATTTACGAATTTCGTCGATCAAATTATTTTTTAATACTTACTCATCTGTTTTAGTTTTTGGCCAGTCGGACCAAGATTATTCATAACACCAGAATTTTCTTCGACTTCAATCCAACCGCCAGGCTTCAATACTCTAACCAATTCAATAACGGCAATTTCGTATTCGTCTTCACTCAACGAAAACATCATATTTCTAAAATGAATATAATCAAACGTATTGTCCTCGTACGGTAATTTTTCTAGTAAATTAGCAGTAACAAATGTTGAATTTATTGGTTTAATTTGTGATGGGAATATTGGCACAATATCAATTCCGGTGAAGTTACTGTTTGGATAAATTCCTGACATTTCCAATACCCAAGTTCCACCACCACAACTTTTTTAATTGACATTGACAAACATAAATATATTTTAAAGGAATAATTTGAAAAATAGATAAAATAAAAGATTAATAATTAATTACCCAGCATCAAGTATTTCAGCACCGGATCTTAATATTTCTTTAACCGGAGAAGAAAAAGATGCTTTACTTTGCGGCCACAATTCTTTCTTGAAGAAATGCACCAAATTTATTCTATCAGTTTCGTCATCATCTACCGGCAAGATTTCTTTAGCATCATCTTGGTTTATGAACTTTCGATCATTGATTTTCTTAAATAATTCTTTGGCTTCTTTGCCTATTGAATCCTCGCTCATATCACTGATATCGCTTTTAGTTTTTTTATGTCCAATACTATTACCATCCTCGCTATAATTACTATGAAAATTAGTAAAAAATCGTTTCCAAAATTTTTTTCCCATTTTTTTCTTTGTGATTAAATAATGAATGGATATGAGTGTGTGTGTGGTGGACGTGTGTATGAATCAATGTAGGTTTTAAAACGATTCTATTTTTAAGTTAAATTCTAAATTTTTTTTCCTTTTTGCAAATAGCAGAAATGCTAAAACCTAAATTTTTTTATTTTATTTAACGAACATGTTATGAATTACATGAATTATATTTATATAAAAGATTAAAAGTTTTTCCATGTTGATCATTTAATTAAATAAAACCAAATCAATGGTTGATTTTTTGCGGCTGTAAAACTATCATAACCGATAGAAATAAATAAACCCTATTTCAAAAATAATATAATGGTAGTTAATACTGACCAATTAAAATTTTATCACATTATTATTATTACTATTTACCATATTAAGAGAATAGGATTGTTTTTATTTCTAATATAGAAAGAAATTCACATAACAAAGAAAAATTACAAATTTTATTTTCGTCTTTTCTTGATTTGGATTACAACTTTCAAATCCATTATTTATCATTAAGAGTCATTGTCATTCCCAGTTTCTAAATTTAATTTATTCAGGATTAAAAAAGTAATAAATTTTTTTAATTTTTGTGGATAAAGTTAGCTCGTGCATTATTCAAATATGCGGGGTAACTTGTCCTATGTAATCCTGCATATAAACACGGTTCACCAATATTAACTTTAACAAGAGCGATATAATTATTCGAGGGTAAATAAACATTAATTTTCATATGTTAAGTAAATATTAAATATTCTAGGGTAAAATTTGCAAACAGAAAACATAGTAGTAATTCACTTAGATCTTTGTTTTTTTGCAAATCTATTAATATTTATTTATTATGCATGTTATACATGCGTACAGTCCTTTTTGTTTGTGTTTCAAGTCAACGTATTTGTTCATAAAGAAAAGACAAGGTATCATTATAATTTATTTAGATTTGTATTTATATGAAAGGAGAAAGGAGAAAGGAGTCTTTTTTCCTTGACAAAAAAAAAAAACGATTTGCAACAAATTAAGGTTGTGGTGACAAAACTATTTTTATTTTTTCCATATTAATATGAGAGAATTTGGCAAAATCTATATATGACAAATAACATAATAATAATGGCTCAAAAAATAAGAATATTCATTAAAAGATTAAAAGAAGAAAATTAATTAATAATTTTATTTTGAATTTTTATTTTGCAATAAAATAGTGTGTAAATATTTACATCTTTTATTTGGTATTCTCGATATTATCCATTACACACATACACGCATGATCAGAAATCACTAATGTAACCAAAATTTATTATATTGCATGATAATTAATAATGACTTATCCACATTCAGTTGACAGCATTTGATGTTTCATTACTCGTAACCTTTTCCTCTTTTCATATAAATTTGTTAATAATGTTAATCTTTATCAGCTGATCAATTAATCAATCTCCCAATCTCCCAATTAATTAAAAAAAATTTATGTCAATTCCTTATTTTCCATAATTATCTTAATTAAAACTATTAAAAGCAAAAAGAGATTTTCATCTAGTTTCTACTCATTAAGATTACCGTCAACATTATTATCAACATTATTATCAACATTATTATCAACATTATCATCAACAGTGTCAATATTTTCATTATCATTCTCAATAACATCAGAATTATTGCCAATTTCAACATTATTATTGTCAACATTATCAAAATTGTCAACATTATCAGCACTATCAACATTATCAGCATTATCAACATTATTATGATCATCGCCACCAAGGTTATCACTGTTGTTGTTGTTGTTACTGTCGTTGTTGTCGTTGTTGATTGATCTAATATATTCTATAATAGTTGAAAATGTTGTGCTCCAACCTGGTTGAAAAAATTCAAATTGTTTTGCATGATCATTATTATCTCCTCCCTCTTTTACTAATTTTTGTTTACCATTGGCAATCCATAAACAATACCAATAATGTTCACCTTCGCAATTAAATACTTGATTATTTTTAATTTGTAACAGATCCCAAATTTCTTCTTCGTTTTTGCAAGCAAGGATTTCTTCTGCTACATCATCATCATCATTATTGTAATGGTGCTCTTTTGAATTTTCTTTATCCCCCCCCTCCTTTTCTTTATCTCCTTCCTGTTGTTCTTGTTCTTGTTCTTGTTGTTTTGTACTTTTTTTATAATCATTTACTGAACATTCTCTAAAACACACATCACATAACAACTCATCAATTCCATATTTACTAATATATTTCCATCCAAATAATGATAAATATATTGCTGACTTCAAAACCATGCTATCAATTCCTTTTGCTTCTGCTGGAATAATCAAATCCATGGATTTGGTAAATTCTTCATCATCATTCTTATTCTAATTATTATAATTATAGTTTGTAAGTTAATATCGTATATAAGTTTATTGTATATAAATATCTTTATTTATGATTATCTATGTATGTATGCAAGTCTTACTATGTTGGCCTTGATTTTTGGAATTTTTTCGCCAAGTTTTATTAAATTTATTATTCTCTTTTGAAATTCTTTTATTGTTTCTTCACTTGAAAGAATAGGAAATTTATAAATAGATTCTATTTTTTTAAGAAAACTTTTAAATTAATATATATTAAATTTTATAAATAACAATGATATTAATAATTTTTCACACACACCTTCACATGGTATTTCACGCCATGGACAAAAGGTTGAATGTGCTGTAGTAAGAGCTTCATAATATTGTTTTTCCAAATGGTTCTCTTTTATTCAAATAAAATAAACGATTATATTTTATCTATTTTTGTAGATATTTCTCTTTAAGGTTAATAACACCTTACCTAAATCAGGATATAATGGTATTTTTACCAACATTTTTTCTCCACAATATTCACATTCAAGCCAATCTTCACCAACATTAATCCATCCATATCTTGCACATTCAATAGGACTTAATAACTTTGGTTTGTCAAACCAATTTATTTCGTATATAAAGATCGATATAATGCGTTAAAGAATAAATATTTAACCTTCCTAAAATTGTTTTATTTGTAATAAATAAAAAAAAGAAAAGGATATTGTGAAAGTTTTAAGTCGTGCCATATATGATTCTTTACTTATAGGCATATATAATTTAGCACTACTGGATTGTTTTCTACTAGGAGTAGTAATAGTATTAGCAGTAGTAGATCTAGATCTAGATTTATAATGTGAATACATAGTTTGTAAGTCTAATTTAAATCTATTATCATTTTGATTATAATTTTTGGTTGTTGGTATTACTGCTGTTGCTTCTTCATGAAAACTTTCTTCTAACGAGGTAATCAATTCTAAATTTTCTAAAATAGTCGTATCTTGAACTTCTTTTTCCATTTGTTGTTGAATTTTCTATACAAAGAATCAACAACAATAAGTATCAGGCGGGGTGTGTGAATTGTGTAATCAAAAATGCCCGGTTTGGGAAATTTTTATCGGAAATCTTTGAGACCAAAAAATTTTCTTATTATTATATCTTTCTTGATTTGGCTCTTCACCACAAAAAATGTTTTATTTGATTGAAAGAAATCAATTAATTATTTGCTAAAAAAAAATTTTCAGTAAAGAAAAGAATAATGAATGATGTTCCAAGTATTCAAATAAAAATGATATATTATATAGTCACATGTCCGATATATGATTGGACAAATCCGTTTTATCACAATATAATAATAAAAACTTTGCTCGTAGGTTTGACAATTTAACCACAGTTTAAAGAGTTTCGCCATAGTTTAGGCAATTTTAAGTTTCGTTGCTAGTTTAGGTGCCTAAATTCCTAATTTCTGTGAGCGAAACGATTTCGGATTTGCTAAAATAATTTCGGCCACCATCATTACACAATACACAATTCGTGAAGTGTGTATTAATTCAAACTTTCATAAAACTCTTTATTTATTACATGAAACTTTTTAATTTTAATGTAGCATCAATGTTTTATAGCCAAAAAGGTTTCGTTAGCTAATAAACTACCATGAAACATGCTTTCGTTATGTGCATCACGAATTGCATCTTACGTCAGTTGTATAAAATTATGATAGATGGTGCAATGCAATTTTTAATTGCAATTCAATAATTTTGACCTCAAGTATAATTGATACAGTCCAAAAGTTTTCGGGTTTCGGGTTCGCCCAGACCGTTCAAAGCTTTAATCTTGTTTTCTAAAATAAATTTTTTTAAAAATTAATATTATTAATGGTGATGAATTAAAATTATAATTAAAGTTCAATTTGTTTATATCTTTGAGAATTTGACTTAAATTATTGATTGACTTTGATTGGTAGTAAAAATAGAAAAGGAAGAGGAAGAAATAAACAAATTGGCCCAAGATTATTGGCTTCCTTTAATGTAACACGATCCCGCACTCAATTTCCTACACTGACGAACAGGGTTGTTAAAGGTCCAGACCGTGGCCTAGACTTAGCATTAGGGTTTATATTCAAATAAAACGAACATAACGAATAAACTAAACGAATGGAATGGAACAAACGAATGGAACCAATGGAACGAATAAAACGAATAAAATGATTTAATGAATTTGTATTGCGAATAGAAACCAACTGTTCGTTATTCATAATGAATTTTGAATTAATATATATGTAAAACTGTTTTATATACTCTTTTTGAAATATATTAATTAATAATTTGAATTGAACTATGATATTTTTAACAAATCAAATTGAAATAAATGCTTTATGATAAAAAAATTTAACAGTCGTTGATACCTAAGACCAGACCGCGCGGTCCATCCAGTCGGACCATCATAATAAAAAAGATCGTCATAAAACATCAAACGAAAACATTGTTACACGCTGTCCTCTTTTTCACCGTAGTAGTAATAGTAATAGATTGATTTGATCTCAATCTTGTAAAAAGTCTCGAAAGGGTGTTTTTCTGCGAGTTGCTCCGTTTATATTGCAGGCTTATATTGGATAGCTAGAATAGCTTAATATATAGCCAAATTAATTGATAAGTTAATAGACAGAGAGAAAAAAAATATGGATGAACAAGTTGTTGGACCACAAATTGGAACATCAGGAGATAGTTTTTTTCAAACAAACAATGATCTATTAATTCAACAACGACGAGAAGCAAAATGTCAAAATAAGCAAGGGGATCCAATTAAGTGTACCTCGAAAGTTTTATGTATGATGTTATCAAATAGTCCAAATGATTTGGTGGACGGTTGTTTATATATTGGTGAATCAGGATTTATTGCAAAAAAAATAAAATTATCGGTACGAACATTGAATAAAAAATAAAAATAAACGAAATCGAACAATAATGTATTTATTAAATTTTTTTTTGGTTTATATATATATATATATATATATATAATTATTATTATTATTATATATACATACATCAATATAGACTGGTAAAGTATTAAAAATATTTAAAGGGCATACAGGACCAGTTACTTGTATAGGAATGTGGTATAAGGATCAAGAGGAATATTTAATTACTGGATCATGGGATAAAAATTTGAGAAAATGGAATACCAAGGTTATTCATTCATTATTCGTTAGTTAATCGTTTGGTTGGTTTTTTAATTAAAAATTATATCATTAATAATATTATTTTCTAGACAAAAGAAAGCATATTTACTTTTTCGGGTCACGAAGATTTTGTAAAATCATTGGTAATTTCACAAAGTAAATCAATATTATATTCAGGATCATCAGATAAACTTATTAGATCATGGGATTTAGTAACTGGGAAACAATTAAAAAGTTTTCAAGGACACACACGTGGTATAGGAGATCTAGCATTAGGTGGTGATGGTGATGAAGATGAAAAGTTTTTGTACTCTGCATCTTCCGATATGTACATTAGAAAATGGAATACAAGCACGGGTGAATGCCTACAAATAATTGAAGGACATTTGACAAGTATTTATTCATTAAAATTATTAAATGATGAGATGTGGACAGGCATGATAATTTAATTTTTCTTTTGGGGGTGAGAAGGAAAATAGGATAGGAAAATAGTGATTATTGTGTTATTGGGTTAATGTTATATATTTATCTATTCTTTTATTCATTCATTCTTGCCATAATTTATTTTAAAATAACAGCTTCTGCTGACAAAACAGTTAAAAGATGGGATCTTGAAGTAAGTATTAATATTATTTATTATATTATTTATTTATTTATTAATAAATAAATTAATAAATCACAATCATTCATTAAATTTATAAATAAATAAATAGACTGGTAAATCAGATATTACATTAGAACATCCAGATTTTGTTAAATGTCTTGCTGTAGCCCATCCTTATGTTATTAGTGGATCAAGAGATGAAACAATTAGAATTTTTGATATTGGAGTTTGTATTATATATTATTATTGTTGTCGCTGTTATTGTTTTATTGTATTACCAATCATTTATTAATTTAAATCAATCCAATAAAAGAGTGAAGAGTTGGTTGATATCATTGAAGCACATTACGATGAAGTTTCATGTTTAGTGGTGAAAGGAACAATGTTGTATTCAGGATCATTGGATGGCACTATTAGAAAATGGTCTATCACTGGTAAAACATTGATTATATATATATATATATATATATATTCGTTTTAATGAATAGTTATATTTAATGAATTTGTTTGATTTACTATAAAATAATAGCCAAAGATATTGCGGAAAGAATTAAAAAAAATTCCATAAAAGATGATGATGATAAAATATCAGATTCCAAGCCTTCTACTACAACAACGGATACTCAAACATCATCCGTTATGACAATGGAAGAAGAACTTGAATTGGAAGAATTATTAAGAGATGATGAAATTTAAATCTCTTTTTTTATATTCAATATACGTTGATAATACACTATTAACCATAGAGCTTTTTCGAAAAGAGCTTTTTTAAACATGAACAAGAATGCGGCATTTAAAACCGATTGAAGTAATTTTGAAGAGATTCCTTTGTAAAGACCTTTAATTCCTTCACTTTCAATAATTTTTTTAATTCCATCTAAAACTGAATGATATCTACCATTTCCTTTTGAAGTTTGACGTAATTGCATACGTGATTTCATAACACTATAATTTAAATATTATATATATTAAATAAATTATTATTATTATTTATTATTTATTATTTATTATTTATTACTGTTGTTTTTACTGCATACTTACATGTATGGGTAAGTTAAAGTGGTGGCAACAAGTTTACTTATAGCCCCCAAAATAAAAAAATCCGAATTTTTCAATGTTTTAATTTTTTCTAACCGACTTTTCAATTGTTCAAAAGCTGTGTATTGAATGATGGGATTTATTACAAGAATCAAAGCAGGTGTTACACCTTGCCAAAAAGCAGAAATTCCATCATTATCAAATATATTTATAATTGTTTCTAATGTTCCTATTTTTTTTATTGGTTTTTTTGTTGTTTTTGCGGTGATAGAAGGAGTGGAAGAGGTGGTGATGGTGGATTCATCAAGTGTTTCTTTACGTGTTGTTACACGTGTCTAAATTTACCAAAAATTTATCATTACTTTAAATAAATAATTAAATATGTAAAGTTATAAATAATATGAATATTTTTGAATTTCTTACGTTGACAACCCAAATAGGATTTGTAATTAGTACAGTAGCAGCACCGGCTATAGAACTTGCAATCATTGATTGCTTTACTGATATATCACCAATAAACTCACTTGGATTAATAATTTTACTTTTGGTCAATTCGTAAAAATAATAATATACACCTATAATAAACAATAACAATAACAATTTTAATTTTAATAATAATATTTGATTTTTTGTTAGTGGTGGATAAAAAAAATAAAAACTTGCCATTCGTTATAGCAATTCCAAAAATAGCACTGCCTAACCCGCTAATCATTAAAAATTATATATATATATATATATACTTAAAAATCAATAAAACTACATTATATATATATTTATTTATTTATTTATTAAATCAAGTTAATTAATTAAAAAGTATATTATATATATTTTTAAAAAAAACCAATGAATTAATTCTTTTCTTACGAATACAACCCACTAACACCTTCGCTCATTAATATTTTTATAATAGCATCCCTACTTCCCTAATTCATTTATAGGAATAAAATTGTATTAAAATTGTGACTTTTCGAAATATTTATTAATGGATTTTTACCTTATATGCACCGGGACCTTTTGAATCTTTTTGAACTTGAAGACGAGAACTGACGGTGATTAAAGGGTAAGTAAGAGCCATTGAAATCATACCGCCGCCCGCACCTATATATATAAATATATATTACTGTTAAAATATAAAGGTTTTTTTATTTCGTTGGTGAAAAAGAATACCACTAACCACTAAGTGCATGAGCAAGATTAATCTTAAAATCAAGATTAGACATTCTTATCTTTTTTTAAGTAAATTAATGAAATTTATTTAAAAAGCAGCGATTGATTGATTATAATTACAAATTTATTTATTTTGGTACAAAATCTAATCAATAAAAAAAAATTTACATTTTTGAAATAATAAAATCAAAATCTAATTTTGAATATTAAATTGAATATTTTTAAATTAAACATTTTATTATTTTGTTATAATTGCTATTTAATCGTTATTTATATATTGGATTTTTTTTAAGATGAACTTGTGGTTTTCCTTTTGGTGAATCTGGAATTATTTTCTCCAAATTCTAAAGAAAACATTCAATTCAATTAATAATTTTTTTTAAAACTTCTATTATTAATTAATTAATCGATTACATACCAAAGTATTAAAAACACATTTATTAAAAATTCTTTCTTCTGACCTACAAGGATAATATTCTTGATTATGTTTTTCTAAGCATTGCCAATGGTTTGCGAATTCTTTATCACAATTCTCTTTTAATTTGCGAAGTCTTATTTTTCATCATCATCATAATCATCAACCCAAAGAATAAAAAAAAGAATTAAATTATTTGTGACAATTGAACAAAAAAAAATATAATAATAATAAATTTATGATAACTTACAAATCAATTGCACATCTAGTAACTTTTCTACCTTCTTTTAAACAATGTGTTGGATCATTATTTTCATTTTTACATAAAATAAAATCATCGTTATAATCTTTACAATAATTTCCAATAAAGAAAGCAGCAGATTTTAAAGGTGCAGAACTTGAACCAACTTCATCAACTTTTGGTATATCATCAGGTAATGATGTTGTTTCGATATATTGAATATTTGATAAACCTTGATTCTTTTCTGTCATTATTAATTATTACTAAAAAAACTTTTTTTAAGGAAAATAATATCTAGTAGGAAGGAACCCCGAAAACTTTAATAATTGGTGTAACATATAAATAAGGGTACAGCTAGGTATTACAAAAAGCATATATAGTACAGTGCGGATCATCTATAAAATTGAATCTACATGTTTGATTTTAAAAAAACCACCACCATTTAAATCCAGCTTTTAAAATCATGTAAGCATAGTGGAAATTCTATTTATGTCACAATTTGATAATCATTGTGATAAATTTAATTTATGTCGTATGACGTAAATTCATAATTGTTTAAAGTACTCAAAAATACGTGTCGTTATGGGTAGCACCATTCATTAAACAACTATTTTTAAAAAAAATTATGCAGTTATTATCTTTTCTTGTGCACTTTCATTTAAATATGTGGGGTAAGTTTGGATGCGAATCAATCTAATCGTTACATATGAAGCAAAAAATTGCATAACTTTTAGTCAAATAAACAGAATTCAATATAAAATATATAAGGTAGATGATAAAATTTATCATAAAATATATGAATGATATGATATATATGAGAACAAGCAACGTATATGAAGTATGAATATAAAAAACTGCCGTATAAATAAAAATGTTTTACTAATTCGATCCTTCTTCTTTTCAATCTATTTTCTTTTGTTCCAACTTTAAGATCAAAAATTACAACCTTTGTAGAGAATAAAATATTATTATTATTAAAGTTAGTTTATTTCACTATTTTTTATTATAAGAAAAGCATATATCTCTTTTTTTTTAAAGAAATAAAAAGTTGTATATATATACCTTGCTCTTTCACTAAAAAAATATATAAATGTGCAGGAAAAGATACATACCTATTAGTGATATTTAAAGGTATTAGGACCACACTCCATTAAAATGCGTAAAAGATAAAAATTACATACAGAGCATATAACATTAATTCTTCCAGAACTTTCTTATTGATATGGATCTTTATGTTGGTTTTTATTTGACTATGTATGTTTACTTTATTATTTTAAACATTTATTTATTTTACGGGATTCTTATTAATAGTTTCCCACTTACTACAGTTCACTCTCTCTATATGTGATTTTTTATTTGTGTTTATTAAGATTATAAGGAGAAATTAATTATTATTATATAAAAAAGCGAAGTTTATTATAGAGATTTTGTTATAGAGAGTGTGAACTGTATATACAAATATGCGTATTTTATTTCTTCAATAATGGGAAAGTATTATATTAATATAAAACTTTATTATTATGTATCAAAGGATATGTAAGATCACAAAAAAAAAAAAATTCGAATACATATATTTATACATCATGCAAAAAAGAAAATACATAAAAAACTCTTTAATTTAAAGTTATAATTCAAACGAATTTTAATATGTATGTAACTCTAAAATGTAAATGTAAATGTGATAATTGCAAATGTTGAACAAAATAGAATTTCCATGAAAAAAAAAAATTCGTCTCATATTTTTGTATATATATTATTTATTTCTATGAAAAACACACTGTTACACAAATTTACTTAATTTCACAAAATTTGGAATTTTCAAAATGCTAATGCTCTGCCAATTTTTAGTTTAAGAAAAAACTAGTCGATAAGTTTTGAAGCTCGAGTCATGAACAATAAAACTTATTGGTTAACTTTTTTAAAATAATATAAATTTTAGTATTTTGAAGCTGGCCAATTGTTACTATAAGCAATTAATTTAATTGATTATCATTCACTTCTCAATATTAATATGAAAATGATCCTTCAGGACATTGTCTGTCCCTGCTACTATTTTCATTAACTTAGCTATAATAAGACCAGCCTTTAGATTTGCTGATTATTATCCATAACGTCCAGGTAATGAATTACAATTTAACTACAAGCAATTCAAGATTTGATGAGGTGACATTGTTAAATCAAAAAAGTTATAATTAATATACTAATAATTCATAAACCTTTTAATAGTAAGCTAATAGCAAATAATAAATAAATAGCAACATCCGCCAAGAGTAGAGTGATCGACTATATGACAAGATAAACTCAAAAAACATATTCTTTTTGATAAAAATCTTCAAGACAGTAAACTCCCAGAATATATCTATTTTTATTAAAGTAGAACCAAGCAGAAAACAGTGTAGTTTTGTTGTAGTGTTAGGACTTAAATTGTTACTGCTGCTATTTTTTTTCTTTATAAATTTTGGGCTGTTTACATACGTACCACGAAAACTAAAGCTTTAATATGTCCTCATTCGGAAGTATTAATATTTACTGAGAGTATCACTTCCTAAAATGATCTTTGGGATAAAAATGGATATTCTTCTACTACTACTAATACTAACCACTATTACTATGGTTTCTGTAAATCTTCTCTTAAAAAAGATTATTTTCACTTTGCCGATCATTAAAGGAAAATCGAGACCAAGGGGATTACGTACCAACCACTCGCCCACTCGTTAAATATCCCAGAACTCCAATAAATCTTTTTTTTTTCATATTATTGATTATGTCTTGTGATGAATTTAATTCATTCAGATTATTCATTCATTCATTTCATTTAGATTTAGATTTGTAAAACGCCCTTTAAATTTTATGTATGTGACATGTGTCTCTTAATTATTATTCCTTGCTTTTCCAAATGTCAAAAGTGATGTGCTGTGTGATTGAATGTGATTAATAAACGCTTGATAATGAAAATTCAATTTCCGAAAAATAAATCTAAGTTTATTATCTTTATCATCATCAAAATCTCAATAAAAAAAACTTATTTCATTCATCAAAAACCAAATAAAAAGCTTATCCGTAATTTTATTAATAATATTTTGACATTATTATTAATTTTTCTTTTTCAATAAATTTTTGGTAACTAAAGATGTGTACACAACAAAATCAACCATCAACAGCTTATTCTCATAACCATCAATATGAAACAAGCCCTGATAGTTGTCGTCACAACAATAATACTGCATTAAATCTTGCATGTTCCGATACATCAATTCATGAAACTACAATGACTGCTGCCGAAAAAAAATCAAAAGAATTGCCAACAACAAATACTGCCAATAACAATAATGATGATGATACTTCTTTTGAAAATAACTTAAAACAAGAAGAAAAACATCAAGAACAAGAATATTCACAAGAAGAAGAAAAACAAAAATTTCATACTCGCCAATATCGTTCAAAAAGTGAAAATTCAAAAAGATATTCGACTCCTGTGTTTTATAATAAAACATTTAAAATGAATCTATTAACTGGCGAAAATGTTAAAATTGTTGAAGAATTATCATCATCATTATCATCATCATTATCATCATTATCATCATCATCATCACTATCATCATCATCATCATCATCATCATCATCATTTTCCCCTCCTTCTTCATCTAATTATTGTAATCTAATATTCCCATATTTAAAATCTAGTGTTTCAACTCCTTCATTAAATTCATACGCAAACCATTTTAATAAGCCTTTACTTTTTTACCAAAATAATAATATTGGTAGTAATAATAATAATAATAGTAATAATAATCATCGCCATCATCGCCATCGCCATCATCATCATCATCATCATCATCATCATCATCATCACCACCATCATCATCATAACAATGATAATGCAGACACAACCACAGATGTAACCATTGGAAGTGAAGGTGAAACATTCGCCCAAAACTTATACGAAAGACGTTTGTCTTGGTCACCAGCCGCTTCTTTTTTGAAAAATTTAGATTCCAAACCTGTGAAATTACCTTCGATTCCTGATGAAGGACAACAAGTTGGAAAATATGTTCTTGGTAGAATTATTGGACGAGGCGGATTTTCCACTGTAAGAGAAGGTTATACCATTGATAATTCTTCAGATTCAATGGAAAAGGTTGCTGTTAAAATTGTAATGAATAATAATAAACATGATGACAATGAGTATATACAGGTAATAATAGTAATTAAGATGTGTGTGTGTGTGTGTGTGTGTGTATACCACATATATCTCATTTTATTTTATATATATAGGCGTCACTTGAAAGGGAAATATTAATTTGGCGTAAACTGAATCATTCAAATATTGTTTCGATAATTTCTGTTGAAAAAACAGTTTTTGCAACTTTTATATTTTCAGAATATTGTTCTGGTGGCACACTATTACAGCATCTTATAAAGAAATGTACCAATAATGGCAGTAAGAAAAAGAGCAGCAGCAGCAGCAATAATAATAATAATAATAATAATAATTACAATAAGAGAGATTCATTTCTTTCATTTGATGTTTATAAAGATGTTGAAAAAGAGATTGTCAAAGGATTAGATGAAGATGAAGCACGTAATATATTTTTAGAGGTTGTTAATGCAGTAAGATATTTGCATAATGATATGGGATTAGTGCATAAAGATATCAAGTTGGATAATATTTTATTGGGTAGAAATAATACTTGGAAATTGTGTGATTTTGGATTAACAGAATTCCAAAATCCACATGTGAATGGATTTGATAATATTGTTTTTGATGATATAGTTTGTGGCTCTTTGACATATTCTTCACCTGAACAAATAAAATCAAAAAAGCCACTTAAAATTCCTACAGTCGATATATGGAGTTTAGGTGTTGTGGTGTTTGCATTGGTTACTTCTCAATTACCATTTCTGGACAAATTTGAGCCAAGACTACAATACAAAATCCTCAATGGTAGATATGATGAATCACTGTTGCAGCATGCAGGTGTCAGTAATGAATTTCATGATTTACTAAAAGGAATGTTCAAGACAAAGCCTGATCAAAGATTAACAATAAATCAAATACTAGATCATCCTTGGTGTCGTAACCAAAGAGATTAGATACATATATATATAAAAACATTATAGACAAGAATTATTATTTGTTATTTATTATCGAAAAGTACATTGTTATTTATAATTTACATTTATTTTCACGTATTTAATTTTTTCAACTAGTTTTATAAAAGCATCATTTTTATTTATTTTCAAATAAATA